TGAATGAATGAATGAATGAATGAATGAATGAATGAATGAATGAATGAATGAACAAACAAACAAACAAATAAATGTAAAAAGAAGATGGAAAGTGATAGAGGAAAATATAGTCCCTGGCCTTCACCATGTATGTATGCAAGCACACACACATATCCACACAAAACAAAATGCACCCACCTATCCCTCCCCATGTCCCACCTGTACCCACAGGCCCCATTTGCATTCCTCCCTTCCCCCAGTTTTCAGAAGGACAAAAAAAGTTCTAATCTGTAAATGTTAACTTTGAGGCACTATGATTTCCGTGATTGTTTGAAGTCAGCCTGATGCCCTAAAAGGAAGTAAAGGTCAGGAATTTACATTTGGAAACTCCTGAAAAATAAACATTTAAAGCAAGGGGAGCAGAAATGACAGCCTGGGAAGGGTAGAGACAGAGAAGAAGCTGAGTAAAACTCCCTCCTGAGTCACTCATCAGCTATAACGCAGACTGAGGAGCCATATACGCCTGAGTTGAGAGATCAGTTACCTAAGTCAGGGAAGAGGAAGTCAGCAACTGGGCCTTGTAGACAATAGCAGATCCTACCTTCTGAGTGCTTATCCTGCTAACTGAATACCCCTCATAACAATGCTCCTCACAGGGTGGAAAAGGTCAAAGCTAGTTTACAAGTAAGGAAACTTAAGCACACAACCATTCCACTGGGATCAAGACTCCAATCTGGGCAGCCCAGCTCCGGAATCCATATCTTCAAGACAATTTGGAAAAGCCAAGCAACCTCCTGTGGTGGTCTGAATGAAAAGAGCTCCCACAGACTCTCTTACTTACAGAATGACAGTATTAGGAGAAATGGTGTTGTTGGAGTAATTTGTGGTCTTGTAGGAGTGTGTCCCTAGGGTTGGGCTTTGAGCTCAAGCCAGGCCCAGCAGCTCACTCTTCCTGCTACCTGCTGATCCAGATGTAAAACTCTCCAAATACCTCTTCAGCCCCATGTCTGCCTGCACACCACCATGCTTCCTGCCAGCCATGATGATAAAGGACTAAAGCTCTGAACTGTAAGCAAGCCCAATTAAATGTTTTCCTTTATAAAGTTTACCATGGTAATGATGTCTTTTCACAGCAATAGAAACCCTAACTAAGACACCAACTCTAAACAGATATTAAAGAGACTGAAGCATTAATAGAAATGAAGGCACAGCAACTAACAGACTTTATAGTATAAACATCTGGCTTGCTGAGTATACCAATGAACAAAGCTTAAGAGTCAGTTCTACCACTGGACTGTATGGAATCTAGTATTAAGAATAACAAGTGGGGAAGAATAGGAAAAGCAATGTGGAAAAAACTTTGAGAGACACCTTTATGAATGAAGATTACTAGAGTTCTCTATTTATAGATCTCAGAGGTTTCCCATAGCACAGGAGAAAAAAATTTAATGGCCTCTGAATTACCTTAAACACTTAAAGAGCTCCCAAAATGCCTAATTTATTTTGGAGAAAGGCTACAGGACCTGGCTCCCTAATTACTTGGTATCTGGCACAGCTGGTTAAGCCAGGCTTTGGCTCTTGCTCTCTAGTGTCCCGAAAGATCTTTTAGGCATGTACAGGTAATTTTATGACTCCCAGTGTAAAATACCAGTTACCACTAAGAGGAGAAGAAAAGCACTGGGTAAGTAACTGATGAATGCATCTCTTTTCTTCTCAAGGATTACCCAAAATGCTATCCATTCTGCAGTTCCCATTTATCTTGGCCTTCTGGTTTTTGTATCTTCAAACTGTAGCCTACTAACAAAATATGTAGAGTCAAACTATGTTGGTGCAAGTTGCTGAGTACACCAATGAACAAAGCTTAAGAGTCAGTTCTACCACTGGACGGTATGGAATCTAGCATTAAGAATAACCAGTGGGGAAGAATAGGGTGCAAGTTGCAGTTACAAGTTCAGTGACTATGCTTTCTTGATCTATAAAGGGAAGCTGCTATCCTCACTTATGACGGCCACCCAGAAGCTATTCCAGGACTTAACCTCTCAAAAAGTTGTTATTAATACGTTAACATGTCTTTCTTGAATATCTATCTGGTAAGTCAACTGGTCACAACTCTGAAGCAGTAAAGGGAGATAACTTCAGGTATCACCTTGATGCTACCATGTGCCTTAAAATACAGCAACAGGACAAAACACAAAGATCCTACCATACACAAAAATCAGTCAGCCCATTAAACATACCCTAGAGGTGCAATGTTACTTTAGTAAGGTTAGAATGTTGGAGTCTTTGGTTTTTACAGCTCCATAATATCTAAAACATCCACCTCAGGTTGTTGGAGATTCAAAACATATAGCCAGGGATTGGACTGGAGAGATGGCTCAGTGGGTAAGATGAACACCCGCTGCATAAGCAGAAGGACCCGAGTTCAGCTCCTTAGTATGCACATAAAAGCTGATGTGGCAAAGTGTGTGTTGTAATGTTAGTACTAGGAGATACAGGGTTGCCTGCATGAGGGAACCCATCGCACAACCCCCAACACACAACAACTTTATCTAAAAGGTAACAGATTCTCTCAAGTCCAAATGTATTTTAAAACCAAATAATGCTATACATTCTCAAAATGATCTCCATCATCAAACCAGACATTCAATCTTAAACTGATATGTGGCCAAATCCTACCGCCTTCATATGTATGAGAATTCTGCTGTGGGGAGAGCTATTACCTTAAATCTCTGTGGTTGGTGAAACTGAATTGTTGCTCTCTTCTGATCAAGATCTTTTCTCAGCTGAAGAAAGTGTGCCTTGCCATCCTTACTCAGAACCTTCTTCTTCCCACTGATGCACCGGCAGAGGTTCACATCTCTTCCATAATACACCCCTTGGTTGCAGAAACTCTTCAGATCTGAGAGTCTGAACAGAGACTGGTAATATGCAGCCAACGAAGGGTCATCCCTCTGGATGAGAAGGGGCTTTTGTTCCCAGAATTCCTTGAAAAAAGTCTCTACCTTGATGGGTGAGATTAAACTTTCAAAGAGACTACTGGGGCTGTCAAAATTTAATATAGAAGGTCTGCCAGATGCCTCCCCCTTCACCTGCTTGCAGGGAACAGACTCTTCTTCCTTCCCATTCCCTGTAGGTTTTGCTTTCTTTGGCATCGTTCACAGCAGGGAGGAAATGCAAACCTACCAAAAGAATAAAAGCCGTGGTTAGGCTGCAGGAGTGCACACATGCCATGCATGACCATGAGCATCTTGCCTCTTTGAGAACTCCATATTAGTCAGTACTTCTGCCTCCAAGATGAGACAGCTAAAAGCCAGTGTCATTTCTTTCAAGATAATTCAGTCTTAAACACCACTCAATTTGTATATTCATCTAAAGGAAAACACAATTTTCTTATGTATACAAGCACTAAGTCCTGGAAATCATTATTAATTAGGAGACTTAATTATCTCAAATTAAAGCATTCAACTCTATCATCAGTCCTTACTCAAAGGTTTAGCCTATGGCCACTGAAACAGCAAAGCCAAAAAATGTTGAATTTGGCCGCAATCAGCACCATGCCCTGAATCTAATTAGATGAACTCTCTGTTACAAACATTCGATAGAGAAGCAGGAACAGCTGTCTGCTGGCAGGTGGTGCTCAACATACAACAGAAACCTTCCCTGACAGAATCCAATGTGTCCTGGGCCAGTGGCGTCACCTGGTGGCTGAAATGAGATGCCAAACACTGGAAACTCCACTTTCAAATTCTTGAGAACTGTCACTATAAGGGAACTCACCCTCTGCCCATTTAAAAATAAATAAATAAATAAATAAATAAATAAATAAATAAATAAATAAATAAATAAATAAGGGCTTTAAAAATGAAGGTATATGACAGGTCTTCAAAAAGATTTAACTTTTTAACCAGAACAAGACATCATTCACCAATACTGTTAACCTCTAACACAGCACTTTTCCAATTTAACATGCACAAAGGGCACAAGGGCATCAAGTGGACCAGACACCATGGTGACAGCACTGTTAGCCTGTGGCACACATCTGAGTAGCAAGAAGACCAACACTCCCAAACACCCAAAACTACAACTCCTGTCACTTATATAGGTCTCCCTCGTGTGGGTTCAAGAACTGTAATTCAAAATGTACAAATATATTCACAGAATACATAATTTGTAAACATCATTTGTAAAAGTATTTGAGACCAGAGGTATTTGATTTTGCAATGCCTGTAAATCTAAAATGAGACATGTAGTGTAAACCTGAAATTGTGTACTTGTGATAATTAACTACAGCAGGAAGAATTTATTCTGTCTCAGTTTCTAGGGCTTTAGTCTACTGGATGGCTCTGCTGTCTTGTGGAGAGATTCAAAATCACAGCAAGAGGATGAGACAGTGCAGTTACCTCATGGTAGCAGGGAGGCAAAAAGAGAAGAGGCTAGGGTACCAACATCCGCTTCAAGGACATATTTCCATGACCTAATTTCCACCAGGCCCTGAAGTCCACCCAGCAGTGACAGGGTCTAGCAACCAAGACTGTGTGGTGGGGGGGTAAATAAGTCAAAATCAAAACCACAACAAAATTCATTTATGCTTCATATACAGCTTATACAGACAGCTTGGGGGTAATTTTACGGCTGCTTTTCATGTACCTCCAATTTGAGGTCCAGAAATTTTTTTCACCTACGGCATCATGTTGGTACTCAGAAGTTGGATTTTGGGGCATGTCAGATTTCATATGTTTGGATTAGGAATGTTCAACCTTGACAACTTCTCTTTTTTCTTTCTTATCCTGAGAAGAGGTTCTGTTCCTCCAATTCCTAGCAAATTCCCTGTTCTCAAAGAGGGCTGAGAGTCACAGTGATTATAAAATACCAGATTTTCCTCAAGGCTAGTAACTTAAAATGCTATGACTTCCTATAGTGTTGAGTAACCAGGATTGCAAGAAAGCTGGTTTTCCCAAGCATCCTATGTGAAGCAGCATTCTGGCAGCACTGTGGACTGAATAAAATGAGTGTGTATTCTGGTTTGCAAGTCCTAGAATAATCTGCATCAACCAATTTTTCAGAGATTTTAAAATGCAACCCAGATATAAGATGAAAAAATTAGGAAGTGTAAACTGAAGAAATATAAAACTCTCTAATGATCTCATTTTAGCATCTAAAATTGTAACACCAAGGAGCTCAGTGCTTTCAAACAGCAAAGAACCATAGCAAACTATAACAAATAACTGAGACTAACAATGCACAGTAGGCGCTGAAGACAATTGGAAAAAGATAAATCTAGTGTTAAGATAAGTGCTCAATGAGACAAGCTTTCTGAAAATATTTTGTATATACTTTTTGATTCAAACAAAGCAGCTTCAATTCTTAACCCAAGCAAGCAAAGCTTTGGTGAGATGAAGAACTGTCAAAGATGGAATTCTTAGAGATGTAGAAATACAAAATATGAAGACAGATTCAGCAAAGGACATTTGTATAGACAGTTAAGGAGACTATAACCCCTGCTGTTTGAAGGGCCAACTTGTGGCTGATATACAATTAATATTTCTGGAGAGTTCTTAGCACCATTAAATGAAAAGGCCAAACATACAACCAACACTGCTGACACCATAAGCATACCTTTCTTCTGCACGTGCAAGACAAGCAGAGGCTGCCTAGATAATCGGTTGCCACCAAGTCTCTAATAGCTTCCCTGGTGGACAACACTTTCCACCTGCTGATATAACCAAGTGAAGAACAACGAAGTATGACTCCATTAAGATACCCTTGGAACCTTGCATTGGCCACCACAGGAATTCATCCCATGTACCCCTTTTTCCTATGTTAATTTTGGTTTGACCTTCGCCTAGCAAATTGCTGAACCTCTCACATTTAATTTTTAAAACTGTTAGACTGCTGTGTTACACTTATCACTAAAGGTTCTGTCTTAGTTAAGGTCACTGTGATGGACACCATGACCAAAGCAACGTGGGAAGAAAAAGGTTTGTTTGGCTTATACTGCCACATCACCACCATTCGCCACTGAAGGAAGTCAGGACAGGAAAGGAACAGGGCTGGAACCTGGAGGCAGGTGCTGATGCAGAGGCCATGGAGAAGTGCTGCTTACTCCCCGTGGTCTGCTTCCTTATAGAATTCCAGGACCACCAGCGCAAGGGTGGCCCACACACAACGCGCTGGAACCTCCCACATCAAACACTAATTAAGAAAATGCCTTACAACTGGATCTTAGGAAGATTTTTTTCTCAACTGAGGTTCCCCCCTTTCAGATAACTCTAGTTTGTGCCAAGGTGACATAAGACTAAGACATAATCCAGGACAGGCACCTTCCAAACTGAGGCACGCATCTCTTACCCTCACAATTGTTCTGTTTTATATTTGAATAGGAGAGGAAGATGCAAGTGAAAGATTTGTTAAGAATAACCTGTGAATGAAACAGCACACTCAACTGAAGGTGTGGCTACCGTACCCAAAATACTTAACAAAAATAAAACCACTTAAGGGTTTTTCCCACCTACAATCAGCAACAAACATCAACCCAACACTTTAGAACTTACCTTGCCTACCATTACACCATCTTTTTCCCCCTACGCTCACACTGGAACGATCTGAGCCTCAGCTAATTGGAAACTACCTCAGATGCCACTGGGTAAATATACCATTCTTTCTTCTTCTTTTTAGCAGTCTTGGGTGGAGGAGAGTAGATACATAACTACCCCATTAGGCCTATTTCCAAATACCCCAAGTTGTGCCATAATTTCAGATTCAGTAACAAGCATGGGGGGTGGGGGACAACAAATGACATTTCTTGGATTCCAAGAAATAGTCATTAAATAGGAGACTGCTTGGTCTAGAATGGCGCAGCGCACATGCCTATAAGCCCTATGGACCACCCAGATATGAATAAGGTTATTTCCTTCTATAGAGCTAGGGGGAGAGAGGCAAGCTGTAAAGAAGGATTGTTTTTCACAAAGTTGATTTAAAAGCACTTAAAGACTTCCAAAAGAGTTCCAGATATAAGCTGGTAACTGCTATATCACTGATAAATTAAAAAAGAAAATCAATGTTGGCAACAAACTTAAGAATCTTTACATTTTAGGGTGCCTTAATCCTTCCCATGGTAAAACTGAATGACAAGAAGTCACAAGAGCTTCTTAAGGTACAGCTACCTCTAGCTTGCCAAAACCTAGCCAAGCATGGCATGAGACAGTCAATTCAGGATTTTTTTTTTTTCACTTTTTTCATCTCAGCAAATTCTCAAAAGCCTTACAAAGCAAAACAACACCTCCTCCCAAATAAAAACAACAGAACAATAAAACCCACAAAACAACAGGAGACTTGCCTAAATAAGGACTATGTTTGGGGAGTCACCATAGAAATTGGTAGCTATTGGTACCAGGTATGGAAGTCTCTCTCCATCTGAACAGTATTTTACCATTAAAGCTTTTAATATGCAAGTTTCTAGAGACACATCCAGCCTCTCGGATTACCACTTCTGCCACAGGAGGCAGAAATCTACAATCACAGAAGTTCCTAATTGATGAATTTTAGGCCCACTAGAGAACACTGGATTGAACTCGGCTCAATTAAACACTCTTGGCAATAATTATATGCTGTGGGCCTGAGCGATGGCTCAGTGGGTTAAAAAAAAAAGGCGTCTGCTGACCAACCCTGACCACCTGAGTTAATCCCTGAGACCCACACAGCTGGAAGGAAAAGATTCTCACGAAGTGTGTACCAACCTCCAACGACACACCACAGCATCTGTGCACCCACACACAAAATAAAAGTGCAGAAACAAAAATTTTAATTATATGTATTGCTTGTAAGGAGACCATCAGGCTAACCTGAAAGCACTGTTTTCGGCACACGGAGTTTGTTCATCAATTCAGAGATGTCTTGCTGACTGGTGGCTATGTTCTGGAACTTTACACAAACAATAAGAATTATGTCTTGCTAATGTACCTAAGGGGCCATGAGATCACAAATGACAGAGGCACCCGGGTATTAAAAAGAGCTGGGGAACCCCCACTCCCGGCGCCGGAAGTTCAAATAATGACTGGCGGAACTAGAGCCTCGACTTCCCGAAACCTGTTCCTATTCACCTGTTGGACAACCCGGCGACTGGCAGGCAGCCCTCCGCACGTGGAGACAGAAGAAGCAAGCTACGCCAATCCAAGCCAGGATTGGGGGCGCGAGGCCCTGCGCCCCGCCTCTGTCCCTGCGCCGGGCTGTCAGGCCTGCACGTGGCCCGCGCCCTCCCCGCCTGCGCACGCTCTAGGACGCGTCCCCGGGTGGCTCGAGGGGCACACCGCCCGGCAGCGAGCCCGCCGCCCAGGCCTGGCCCTCCGACCCAGGCCCACACACTGCCACTCCGCCTCTACCACCACACTCACCCTGCCCGGCCTGTTGCGCGTGGCCACAAGCTGACTGGACAACAGCGTGGAGGGGCGGAGCGGCGTGTGCACGTCGGGGCGGTGCTACCGCTCTGGACCCCGCCCCCGAAGCGGGGCCCCGCCCCCCTGAGCAACAGGCTCCGCCCCCGAACCGCAGCCACGCCCACGCCTACTAGCCTTTTCCTGAGGCCTGCACTACCACTGGCCTGAAAAGTAGCCATCTAGGAACCTAAAACTCAGAGACTGTCAATGTGCTTCTTACGGTTGATATCTCCGACTCTGAAGTTAGGAGTTAATCCGTAAAGGTGGACAGTTCCCTCTACTAATACATGCATATGAACTTGCTTCTTGAGAGCGTGCTTGTGCTCCGTTGGACCAAAATAGATCCAAATAGTTTTTCATTACATATGACTTTAATATTTATACAGTTGTTACTAATGTAACATTTTTAGTACCAAACATTTTATTTACACTTCATGTACTTTCACTCTAGCATTTCTAAATTGTATTTATTTATTTATTTCTAAATTTTGTTTATTTTATTGGCTTTTTTCATATATTTTGATCGCATTCTTGCCCCTCCCCCAACTTTTTTCCAGAATCTTCCTACCTTCTTTTCCTTCCAATTCCATGTTCTTCCTCTTTTTATAAGAGAAGAAAAATCAAAACGAATAAAAGCAAAATGTCAAAAGTGCAAAAACAAAACAAAAAAAAAGCACACACAAAAAGCATCTGTTTTTGTGCTAACCAGATTCTCCTGAGCGTGGGGCCTGCCCTAGAGTGTGGTTGATAGATCATTTGGAGAAAACTGATTTCCTATCTCCCAGCATATATCAGTTTGCAAATAGTTTCTTGGTTGGGAATGAAACTTTGCCCTTGTGCGGGACTTTCATAGGCTGTGGGTTCATATTTGCACCAACCCTGTGATATCTGGAAGATGCTGTTTCCACGGACTTAGGATGTCTGGTTCTTAATCTTTTCTGCCTCCTCTTCCTCATAGATCATTGAGCCTTAAGGGGAAGAGTTTGATAAGAACATCACGTTTAGGGCTAAGATGGCTTTTTAATGTTTTGTTTCTGTTTTATGGCTATGCTCTTTTTAGTGTAAAGAATCTGAGTTCCAGTAGCTTTAAAGATTACAACGGTTAGAGCAGAACAGGAGCATGAATGAAAACCCCATAGGTTGTCTTTTGTGGAAAGGGAGGGGCTTTAAAAAATTGTCCTTGATTGGCTATTTTATCAGCAACAGAAACTTGTTTTGAAGCCAGGGAGGTCTGAGATCAATACGTAGTGAACTCTGCATCTCACGGTGTCTGCTGTGTGTCCCTCAAACCAGTTTTGGTAAATGAACAAGGCCTTTGGTGGGCATGTTCACTGGCTGGAATGGCAAGACAGCTCTTTGATATTAATTTTAAAGTATACAAAAGCATGAATCAAGCCCATTCGCGAGAGCTCCACCCTGAAGATCTAATCTCCCCACAAGGCCATGCGGCTGACACGGGTGACTACATTGCCTCATCTACAATGACACAGACGTTCAGACCACAGAGCTCAAGCTGCGTATCCTTACTGTCCTTACACTTATGTGTCTGTATTTGTGAATATGCTTCATTTTCACCTACCTAAGAAAGCTGCTCCCAGTTCCCAGTGACACCAAGTAAGCAAAAGTCTCAAAACTGCAAGGTGCTATCACCTGAGAGGGACTTGACAGATCACACATAGCATCTCAAATAAAAAATCTTCAGAGCAGGCATTGAATGCAGTTGGCTCTCCGCGGAGACTCATCAAACAAGACCAATTAATGTAGTCACAGCACCTTGCAATAATCTTTGAGTTTTAGTAACTATAGAAAAGGCAAATTTGCTTATGACTGAATGGCCCAGCCCAAGGTCTTCAACTATTCTTCATGTGATAAATCTCCTGGAACTTAAAATATTTGATTTGATAAATTCATACCGACACTGATTGGAATAATTTTTACATATTCATGTAATTTTATAAGTCCACAGGGGACAGGAAATGTGCTTAGTTCATTTTGAGATTACCAAGTATTTGGTGCTGGTGTTTATAGAACTAAGTTATCCTTTCTATTTTCTTCACTGCTGACAGTATATTTTCTTTTGCAGTTTGTGCCTATAGCGACGCCATTTAGACTGCATAACACTTTTTAGTAAGTGATACTGCAGACTTCCCTTCTCAAAAGCTCAAAATAGTAGGTAGAAATGACTGTTTTCCTTACTGTAATGATTTGTTACTTATAGTGTTACCCATAAGCCTTGAGATAGACTTATTCTTGGTCCTTATGAAAATAAGGTGTTCTCTCATGGGTATGTTTTGGGGGCACTTGTAAAGAAGTAAGATGGTATAGAAGATGTTTTCTAGCATTATATGGATAGACAGGAGAGCCTAGCATCAGAAGGGTAGATTCATTGTTTTCTGTTTTTCTCTTTTAAAATAATTATGAACTGGTACTGGAGAGATGGCTCAGTGGGTAAGAATACTTACTGCTCTTGGAGAGAACTCAGGTTCAGTTTCTAACACCAATGTGGATGGCTCATACCAGTTCTGTCTCTGGTTTCAGGGTATCCAATATGTTGTTCTGGCCTCCAAGGGCTCCGACATGCAGGTGACATGCATAAAAACAATCCGGCACATACCTGTACACATAAAATAACAAATAAGTCTTCTTAGAGACATCAAAAAGCTAGGCTTGGTAGTGCATGACTGTAATCCCCACATTCAGGGAGGCAGAGGCAGGTAGATGTCTGCGAGATCCATGCCAGCCAAGTTCCAGGACAGCCAAGGTTAGGTACGCAGAGAAACCCTGTCTCGAAAAACAAAACAAGACAACAACAACAACAGAAATAATCAAGAACTAAAAGTGACCAACTGCTCAAAGTGGTAACACCCAGGAAGTGACAGTCCATAAATAACATTGCTCAAACTTCCAATGAGGAGCAAACTTTCTAACTAAACTTTGCTTCTTAAAAAAAAAAAAAAAAAAAAAAAAAAAAGGACTCTAAGAGAGAAAATTATACAATGCTACTCATTCTCTAAAAGTGGCACAAATTCTAATGACATAGCTGAAAAGTACACCAAATGCAATTTTTTTTACTTGAGATTTTAGTTAAAGTCACACACTGGAGACAACATTTTCCAGGCCCCATTTTTAAAGTTTGTCCTAAAGATAAACTTTAAATAAACACCAAAACCTCTGAGGAAGAACTATATCTGCTTTCCTGCATGAGAAAGAACAGACAGCAAGAGACTAAATTATCAGCAAAATCCCACCACTGACTCACAGGTAGAATAGAGGATTTAGTATAAACAGCTCAGTTTTTTAATAGGATTCGGCCAGGTCCTCTGGGGTTAGTAACTAAACACTTGCCCCAGCATGCCAGGAAAGTACTTTACCACTGTGATGCACCCCAGCCCTTAGGCATGGTTTTTTGCCCTTGGTCCTCTTGGCACAAATGATGGTTTAAAAAATTTTTTTGTGTGTGTGGAATGTTGTGCCGTGCCTTGCTTTGTATGGTTTTACCAGATGCTGGACATCTAATGCACTAGATGCCAAAGTGCTGGAAGAAAACTAGGGGGTGAAGTATAGTATGTTGAAGACATTAGAAAATTTCTTCTGGGATTGCCCTGCCCCAACTTTTAGATTTACAGTGTACTAAAGTTAAGTTTTACCACACTCTCCAGAAGTCCCAGACACTGCCCTGGAGGCTTAAATAAAAGTAACAATAACTCCAAGCTCTGCAAAAAGATTTGGTGTGTCTTCGGGAGGGTTGCTGGCTGCTTTGGAGACTGTGAAATCTATTCCTCCACTTTCACTGGAGCAGCTCTTGGAGAAGATCCCAGCACTTCTGGAAGGATCTGTAATTCCTAAGGCATGGCTTTAAAGCTTCGGGGTGAAATGTGAATTGGTGCTTTTCCTTTGAAGATCCTAAAGAAGGAGGTTGGTCTTACCTCAAGCAGCAGTCAGAAGCATAAAGCTGAGTGGGCAGCCTGATCTGACACTCACTGCAGAATGCTCAGTTATGCTCTGGGCTGTTCGTGGAAATGATCTGGACTCACCTCATCTAGAAGTGGCTTGCAGGTGAAGAAAGCCAGTCATTAGGAGAGGGTGGGATGTGCTGACATAAACGGGAAAGGAGACATGGCAGTCACACACACCAAGCCAAGACCTAAAGTTAATTTCAGTGAACCCTAGTGTATAGACCTCCCAAAGAACCTTCACCTGCATTAACATTTTAACACAGACTGCAAGGGCCAGGTGTATAAATTTTGAGGTCCCAAAACCAATTGAAAATGCAAGTAGCGTGAAAAAATTGCCATTAAAGATATTAACATATTAAGATATTACTTTCTGTTGTAATTATACCTTTATTATCATGGTGATTGCTTGTTTGATTGTAATGTTAAGTGATGTACTACATTGCTGGCTGGAAGGGTTAGTGCTTGAGCTCACTGGTGCTTTAGGCCCTTACATCACAGTCGAGTGTGTGTGTGTGTGTGTGTGTGTGTGTGTGTGTGTGTGTGTGTGTGGAGGGGTGTCTGCAACCACCAAGGCCAGCAGAATGTCAATCCGTGTGAGGCAAGAAGGAAGTGCAGTTCAACACGACTCATTAGCCAGTGTTGGTTCAAACTTCTAGAGGCCAACACTGGGCTCTTTATTTTAGTCATATTTAAGCATGGCATACACTGGAAAAAGTTTCCTGGCAATAATTAATTTAGTTCCATGTGCACAATAAAGCTTAAGGCATGACTACATCGAAACTGTTCTTAAAGTCCA